AAATGAACCAAGCCTTGTATCTTGGTTATGAATAATAAAAGAAAAATGGAAAAAAAAATTTTAAAAAGCAGGTACTAGAGAAAAGATTTTCCTTTTTAATTCTGTTGTTAAAAATTAAGGCCAACGGCACATGCAGTTTATCATTTTAAGCATACAGTTCAGTGGCATCAGCACATCCAACTACCACCGTCACGTCACACTCCCGCCAGCCATGCACAAGGATTCTAATCTCTCTACATGCTTGCCATGCACTAGCTTCCTCTTTTTTAATTTTTAGCTTTTACTTATTCCCATGTAACATGTGCTTCCATATGTGTTTCTAATCTATCTCAATTAAATTCACTCCCTCCATCTTCTCCCTCATCCCCTCTTCTTTCCTCCTCTTTTTTTAATAGCTATCCTGCTGTGTATAAAGCATAACGCCGCCTTTCTGTGCCACCCAGGGAGGGATCCACATTACATTCTTCTTGATTCCCATTGTAACTTAAAGGGAAATGTTCATACAATGTCCTACAAATAAAGGAGGAGGTCCTCAAATTCCTTGCAGCAGGATGCACTTAGGTGGCACCAACCTTGACTTCCAAATGGAACAGTACAGTACACCTTCAAAAGGTAAGGTGATAGTGTCCACATCATAAATCCTAAGAAGACCTGTCATGGAGTCCACATCATAAATTCCTCAGAGGACCTGGTTGATACTCCTGCTGGTGGTTCTTGCCAGTGCTGCATTGAAACCCTGCTGAGGTCAGTGTCACACCTTCTGGGAGCCTGGCCAGTGGGCCGTGCTGACCACTGGAGCCACTCAATTGCTGACCATGTCCATCCTAGAGTTTTCACTAACCAGGTCCAGGCAGCCTTCTGGGAGTCAGGTCTTCTGGTGATGAATGTTCCCAGGGCTGAGCCTCTCACAGAGGCTCTTGATGGTGATCTGCCTGCCATGGCTCTACCACACAGACTTCCCTCTGCACTCCAGGGTGTCACCATACTGTGCAAAGACCAGTGGCTCATTCAGTGGGTCTGATTTGGTGGACGCTGGCCCGGGATATTCTGCAAGAGCACAGCACCAGCTCCAGTGAACATCATGGGAGGTCAGGTCCGATCTCCACTTCTGCAGAGATCCTGAGAAGATTGAGAAGGAAGAGCCAGCTACTGCTGAAAAGGCTGTGAAAAGGAGGAATTTCAGGGCGAATGCACTGTGCCAGCTCCTGGGTTCCCCACTACTCAGCCTGAGGTCACAGAGGTCTGCACCTGTCCAGCAGTCACTGTGGAGGGCTGGAGCATCCTCAAGACTCCTCTACAGCCCCCACTGCTCAGGCCACTCAATGGACAGGAAAAACACTGAGTGGTCTTGAGCCAATCTTCTGCAGACACTTGGCAAAATGGAAAGTAAACACCAGTTTCAGATAAATAAATAAGTACATGAAAGTGGTGTATCACTGTGGTTTTGATTTTAATCTACGTAACGGCTTAGTGATGTTCAGCATGTTTTTGTGTGCTTGTTGGGACTGGGTTGGCAAGGATATTTTGGGAATAGCATCAAAGTCAACAGAAACAAATTTTAAAAACTGATAAATCAGATATCATCAGAATGAAAAAAAGCCCCTCTATGCATTAAAGGACAAAAATTTAAAAATACATAAAATGGGAGAAAATACTTGTAAAAGACATATCCAGACACAGACATGGTGGCACATATCTTTAGTCCCAGCTACTGAGCACAGGAGTTCAAGGCCGACCTGAGCAACGTAGTAAGACCCTGTCTCCAAAACAAACAAGCCAAAAAAAAAAAAAAGAAAGAAAGAAAACAAGCCAGACATGGTGCCACACAGTTATAACACCAGCACTCAGAAGGCTGAGGTAGGAAGACCATGAATTTGAGGCACTCCCAGGGTACCTAGTGAGACTCTATCTCAAATAAATAACTGATAAGGACCTAAAATCTAGAGTATATAAATGAGTCTTACACCTCAACGGCAAAAACTCAAACACCCCAATTAAAAAATGGACGGAGGATTTGAAAAGGTCCTTCTTGGACTTTTCTCCAAAAGACATGCACAAATAGCATGTAAGAGATGTCACTAGCCGTTAAAGAAATGCAAATGAAACCACAATAAGACATCACTCCAAAAACAAAATGAAAAGCCACAAAAACTAACAAGTACGGGTGAGGAAGGGGAGAAATGTGAACATTGTCACAGGAGTGCAAAATGGCACAGCAGCTGTGCAAAACAGTTTGGCAAAAAGTTAAACATAGAATTGCTACAGGATTCAGCAATTGCAGTCCTAGATATTTACAAAAGAACTGAAAACAGGTGTATACAAATGTTTACCCACAGGGCTCACCATGGCAAATAGAGGGAAACAACCCATGTCACTAAAGTGCACACTTCAAGTCAGTTAATTGTGTATGTGAATTTTACGTCAATTTCCAAAAAGAAAACCCAGTCCTCAGCATACCCTCACAGGGGTGACTCCTCCTTCCATTGTTACCAATTTCTGACCCAAACTGGTTTCTTTCTCCCTCTCAGACTCCTGGACCCAATACCAAAACCATTCAGTAAAAGAAAGTTTATTCTTTGGCCAGAGAATAAGAAGACTCTGGGAAAATAGCTCCCAGGTCAGCTTCTCCTCTAAGGAATGCAAGTCCTTTAAGAGTAATGGGATCAAGACGAGGATTTGGGGTAATGAGGAGGAAGGAAGTGGTGAACAACAGACCCACAGGGCACCCTTCATGGCTGAATGCTGCCTCACAGCAGCATCTGAAGCCCCAGATGTCTGCATGGCTATTGGGTACCGAGTCTGAAACAGAACAATGGCTAGCACAAGGGATGGCTCTCGGGGTTTGAGAGGGTGTTGCTTGGTGACACAGCCCAGTGCTGCCAGGACCCTGCCAGCCATATTTGGGACACTTGTGCTGCAACCACATTGTCCACTCAGCATCTAAACTCAATGCCCACTTTGTCATACCAGGTCCAGATCTTCTCTCTGATGCCTCCTCAGATGACCAGCGACATGTCTTCAGGGCTCACAGGGTCTTTGAATCTTGCTATAGTGATATGGGCCTTAGCAATGGCTTCTGATGGTTGTCTCATCTCAGTAAAGGATGTCAGTGTTGTCTCAGCACCACCCTGGGCAAGTGTTCTGCTCAGGTGAACTCAGAACAACCTGCTTGGTCCCACATGTAGAGGGGAAGGTAAGGTCCAGTGGTTAAAAGACACCCCTGCAATCACACTCTGGTTCCAGCCCAGGACCAGGAAAGTCTGTCCATCAAATGAATGTGTCCAGGCCACACTAGAGAAGCAACCCAACTGTGGAGGTCACTTGTCTGATCATGAGGTGGCCCAGGTCCCACATAAAACTTCAGGAGCCTTGCAGACCCAGGGCTGCCCAGAGGCCAGCTCCAGGCTTTCATACTCACTTCTGTCCACAGCCCTCCCACCCTCTGGATGGGCCTGGGCCTGCTGACCAGAATCTGGCCCCTCTGAGGCTCACCCCAAAACTTTGGAGTCTCCATAGGTACACAGTGCTGAAGCAATGCCTACCTGAGATAGGAGGGGCTTTTGTCTTTGGGAGCCTGCAGGTATAGATTCTTCTTTTTTCATAGGACATAGGGAAACTGGGAGCCCCAGAGAAGTGCCCCATGGATCAGCACCCAGAGACCAACCGGCACCCATTTTATCCTGCTTCAAACTGCAGTACCCCAAAACCCAGAACAGTTTTGTCCCAGCCCTCACTGGGCAGATTGTCACAGAGCCAGCCCCAAGCCTAGTAGTCAAGCCCTAGTGTGATCTGCCTGGGCATCCAGAGAGAGGCCATAGGACCAAAAAGGAGTTGGGGATCATGGGTAGAGGAACACTGTAATGGGTTGAATGTGTCCCCAAAATTCATATGTTGAAGTTCTCACCCCCTGTATCTATAAGTGTGACCTTGTATGGATATAGGGTCTTGGAAGGTGATCGACTTAAGATGAGGTCATATTATTGTGCTCCTAAAAAGAAGAGGGATTCAGTCACAGAAACACACACACTGACATGTCCTCTGGAGATGGAGCTCTGCTGCTACAGCCAGGGAACTACAGAAGCTTCAGTGGAGCCAGAACAGACTCTTTCCTGACACCTCCAGAGGGAGCCCAGCCCCTGAACATCTCCATCCCATACCTCTGGACTTCAGAGCTGTGAGACAGCAAATCTCTGTGGCTCTAAGCCACCCAGTTTGTTGTGCATTGTCAGAACAGCCCTGGGAAAATAATACAGGCATCTTCTGTTCTGCTCTGCCCACCACTTTCTCCAGACCACAGGTGCCTCCCTAAAGCCATCGACAAGAAAGTATTTGGAAGCAGGACTCTAAACAGGCGATAGTCACTGCTGGGTGGTCACTTTCAGCTCTGACAGTCTGGCAGCTCTGTCCTCAGCTCTCATCCTCCCAGAGCCAGTGGGAAGATGAGCACATGGAGGGTCAAGTGGTAGGACTTCCTGGAGCAGGCCTATGAGCCTCCACACAGCTGATCCTGGAGCCAAGAAAGTTCAGAGCTATGCAAACCCCACCCCTCACATTTCCTACAGGCCCCTCTCCCATCCATCCACAGTGTGGAGCATCCAAATCTCAGTAGAGAAGATGCCTCAGGAAGGCACAGATAGAGGACACTCTACCTAATCCTGGTGTCTCACCTGTGTTCACTGGGCCCTGATGGCCATTTAAGGGGGCAAGGGTAGAACAGAGTGTAAAATCACACTCCTCTTGTCAGAGAGGCCTGGAACAAAACCAGAGAGGGCAGAAGGGATGGGAGGGGCTGGGTGTGAGGATGCTAACAGTGGAGGTCCCTCCCTAGAGGCGCTGAGCAGAGGGGTTAGGAGGGCCTCCTATCTCCATCCAGACAGAGCCTCTGAATACTCAGGTGCCCCCCCCCCCGCTCAGCCAGTCCATTGCCATCAAGGGTCTTCTCCAGGCATTTTGAGAAAAATGGATATGATGCACCTGGACAAGTCAAGGCTCAGGAACTTTCAGGACTGAGCCTGCAGCCTGTCTAGGATAGGAGGAAGCAAAATCCCCTGGAAGTTCTCATGTAGTCCATACCTCTGATTGTGGCCAGCTCCCTCACAGGTAGCTCCTTGCTGGGTATCCAGGCTCTGCTTGACACAAGAAAGGCCACAAGTTACAGCAAAGATGGGCCCAGAGATCTGAATGCTTCTGGGGAAGGCAGAGGGATGGTACTCCCCATAGCAGCCCAAGGTACAGTAGTCGCTGCTGTCGCCTTCTGAGTCTGGGGGAGCAGGCCTGTTAGGAAACATGAGGGTCCAGTCCTCCTGTGGCAGGTAGGCAGACAGCTGTTCCCCCAAATCCACACACTCTGCTGGAAACGCATCCTCTGAGCTTTTAGACACTGGGAGGCCAGGGCCAGTGGCTCCCACCTCCTCCAGTCCCCGAGGGTATGCCGGGCTATAGGTGAGTAGTGTGATGGCCTCCCAGGCTCCTTGTGGTGTGTTGACACAGTTGTGGATTGGCTGTGGACACGCTGTGTGGATCCCTGTCCAGGTCTGGAATAGAGCACAGGTGGAGGGAAGGGCTCAGGCAGCACATTCAGGGCTCTCCTGAGAACAACAGCCTCCAGCTCTGTAGGCCCAGTCTTCCTTGTCCATCTAGGAAGCTCTCCTGATATTCACACTCAGCATCCAAGGGCCATGAATGCCCAGAACATCCTGTCCCCCATTATGTATCAGTCTGGCTTCAGCCCAGGACCCTGAGTCACTTCAAGCCCCTCACTGCTCCTCCAGCCCAGGGTCCCAGGCTCACAGTAGCCCAAACCAGGGTTCAGATGGTGACAGGTGCAGAGGGCAAAGCAAACCCCTGACAGGCCCCTGCTGCTTAGGGCCTCCATAAGTGACAGCGTGAATACTCACTCCGAACCCCACTATACACACAGGATAAGAAACACAGGGAGCACAGGAGGCCCTGTCTCCATAGGAAGCTGATCCCTCAGAAGACAGGGAACCCCACCAAATGCCCTGCACATACCATAGCCTCTGTCACCATGCTTCTCTCTGGAGAGCCAATGTACAGCTCCAGACCACCTGAGGGTCTGGATAACTCTGGCAGGTGCCATGGTTTTGTAGGGAAGGAGCCGGGAGCCTGTGAGCAGGGTGACACTTCCCCATCCCAGTGGGAGACTGCACAGGTGGACAGAGCAACCCTCCAGCTTGCACTAGCCTGCCTGTGACCTGTGGGAGCCCAGCACACACCACAGAGGGGGAGATACACCACTCATGAGCCGTGGTGCCAGCAAGCTACCCTGGGGACCAGGAGGGACCACGCACTCCACAGTGGCCACCAAAGGAGAAGCCCAGCAACAGAGAAGCTGCCCCAAGGCACAGAACACAGACACCTTTGGAAGAGGAGGTGGGGTCAAAGAGTGAGACAGGGTTTGCACAAAGAGCTGCCCCATTTGCACCTTGAACCACCATTTCCCTCAGTGGCAGAGCAGAGGAGGCAGGTGGAACCATGACACAGTTTACAGGTTTTCCATCAAGAATGCATGTATGGCTACTCAGGAAGATTGCTGGTTGAGACCAGCCCAGGAAAAAAGTTAGTGAGACTCCGTCTCAATCAATAAACCAAGTATGGTGAAGTACATCTGTAATCCCAGCTATGCAGGAGGCTTGGATAGGAGAATGTCAGTTGAAGGCCAGTCTCAGGAAAAACCATAAGATCTATCTGAAAAGTAAGTAAAACCAAAAAAAATCAAAAAAAGAGGGCTGGTATGTGAGGGTGTGGTTCCAGTTATACAGAACCTGCTTAGCATGTGCAAGACACTGGGCCCAATCCCTAGTAATGAAAGAAGGAAGAAAAAGGGAGGGAGGAGGGAGGGAGGGAGGGACGAAAGAAAGGAGGAGGAAGTAAGGAAACAGAATAATGAAACACATTTAAAAATGTGGAAAAGGGAGAAAAGAAGGTGTTATTGAGGGGTGGATATGACTAAAACATACTATATATGTATGTGGAACTGTCACAGTAAATCCCGTGACACATTTTTTAACTAATAACTAATTAATTAAGAAACAAAGAATGGAACTGGAAACCCAGGACAAAGAGAGGTCAGCAGTAGCAAACGCAGCTAGACTTTGCCATTGGAGACACAGTAAGTTAAACTGCTGTGCATACAAGGAAGGCTCAGAGACTGACAAAGGCCCCATGCTCACCCTACCCCATCCAGACACCCAGGCTTTGCCCCTAGCCCGGAAGCGCCCTGCACACACCTGGAAGTTCCCATCGTGCACATTGTAGAGGGGGTGGAAGAACGCCGCTGGAGAGGGCACGTTCTGGTAGAAGGCTCTCTTCAACCTGAGGCCAGGAGGGGACAGTGAGAGCCTGCAGGGATCCAGGCATGGGTTCTTGACAACACCATACTCCAGAAAGCCTGAGACCACTGCAGGGACCTGAGCTCCCTTCAATCAGCAGATGCCAGCCTCCCCGTCCAGGCTTCTGTCCTCTCTCCTTCCCATTGCATCTGAACTTGTCCTCAGCGGACCAGGCACAGTACACACCTGTAGTCCCCTCTACTCTGGAGTCTGATGCAGGAGAACCACTTGAGCTCCAGAGTTCAAGGCCAACCTCAGCAATATAGCAATACCCCATCACAAAAAAGAACAAAGTTTGCATAGGAACTGATTTGGTGGTCTCTCTTCTCTCTGGATAATGTCCCGTAGAACTGATTTATACCAATGTATGTGTGCTTTTTCTTTTTTATTTTTTTTTTGAGGTACTGGGGTTTGAACTTGGGGCCTTGGGCTTCCTAGGCAGGTGTTCTTCCTGCCTAGGAAGAGCCATACATTCAGCCCTTTTTGCTTTACTTTTTATTTTTCAGACATCATTTTATGCTTTTCCCAGGCTGGCCTCAAACAAATCCTACTTTCACCTTCCATGTAGCTGGGATTACAGGTGGCATGTACCCCCATATCTGGCTTGTTTTTGAAATGGGGTTTTTGCTTTTTGTCCAGGCTTGCCTCAAACAGCAATTTCCCCTTATCCACCTCATGTGTACCTGGGATTACAGACATGTGCCACCACACCTGGCAAGGCATATGTCCTTTACAGGTGAAGCTTCAATACTGAATTTGGAGCCTGGAAGTGACCAACTGTATCCTCAGCCCTCAGAAGGGCTCCAGGAACTGCATCTGAGCTCGTAGCAGATAGCTTGTGCCCCCCAACCACCCGCTCACCCAATGTCTCCCTAAGCACCAGACCCACAAGGAAGTTCTATAGGCCCCAATCCAACAGTGCCAAATCCACCTGTCCCAACCTCCCCAGGGTCCAGTCCCTGCAGTTGGCCACCTCAGGGGTCACCTCTCAGATCTGTTTCTCAGTTTCTCTTCCTAAGACCCTGGCAACTCCATCCATTTTTCTTCATCTCCTTTTCTCTCACCAACTCAAGCCAAAGTACCTCACTACAGCACTGCCAGGCCCCTCTTACCCCAGATAGCCAGTCTCAAAGCATAAACCCGACGGCACCCAGCACTCTCTGTGGCTCCAAAAAGTTCACCCCTCCCACCTGGCCCGCCAGATCCTCCCCACACCCTCTTGCCCTCTCTGCCCAGCCTCGTCCATCTTCTCTACTACTTTTCCACAGCTAAACAGTCTCCTCCAAGGCCAGCTACCAGCCAGGCCTTCCCTGTAACCCAACATGCAATTCATGAGATTGGGGGCTTGTCTGAGGAGGATCCTTGTCCCTCTGTCCTCTGAGGCATCCACCAGGGCTGAGAACAGGATCCTGTGCACCCTAGATGCCCAAAATGGCATTTTCATAGAACGTGTGGAAGATGAGCAACACAGAAAGAATCCCAAAGCAGGATACAAGGACTTCAGATGCCAGGATCCCTGAGACTCTGCCTCTTCAGAGCTGGTGGGTCCATGCTGCCTCCATCCTCAGCCTTTGCCATAGCAAAGCTTGAGAACCCCATTGGTCATGTGGAGACTTGAAAATCCTACTCCAGCCAGAACCAGACAGTGGACAGGGGAGGAGAGGGGCATGGAGGTGGCCCTCAAGGTCTCAGACACCACCTACACATGTACACACCAATACACTCACATGTGCACACTCACATACATGTGCACATTAACAAATGCACACATCAACAACACACTCACAGACACAGCACACAGTAACACACACATATTCACATACATACACATTGACTACCTACCTGGGTGACAGTTTGAACAGGAGGTAGGTCAGCCCAGCCAACAAGAGAAAGATGGACATAGCAAAAAGGGTGTGGTATGGCCACCCCCAGGGTGGGATCAGGAGGCCTGTGGGTAGGAAGGGCCCAGAGCTGTGATTAGCGTTGGCGTCAGGGTATTTACCCTGAGCCCACATGGGAAAGAGGCTCATTAGTGCCCTGAGCCAAAGTGGATAGAGTTTGGATGGGCCTCAGAGGTTTGTGTTGTGCTGCTGAAGTCCCTGGGGTGAATCTCACTCTGGACCTCATCCTTCCCATGTGCCATATGGCAGGTAGTCAAGTCCTAAGCCTTCCCAGCACACTGTGCTCTGACTAAAGAGACTGAGGTCTATCCAGCCTTCCAAGCAGAAGCACAGCCTGGCTTGCAGCCCCTGGCCACACTCACTCTTAATGGTAGCCATTAGCAGAGAGCCCAAGGTGTCTCAGACTCCAGGAACAGGGGGCTCCAAGGTGGTGAGGGGAGGAGGGGAAGCAGGAAAGACAGAGGGGAGGACGCCCAGCCCAGGCCGTGACAAAGTACCACCACACAGCACCCACCTGGTCGCTGGGGAGAAAGGAAGCACACAGGCTGACTCCACTCGCTCCACTGGCCCTCAGGACGCTCTTCCTCTACCACATCATCCTTCAGCATTGCCATCTGGACACGGAGCCTGGCCTCGTAGTAGGAGCCTGGGTACAGCTCCATGGCTTCAAGGATGATCCAGGTCACTCCAACAATGCGGTCCTTGTGCAGGGCTCGCTGCAGGGTTGTGGGCAGTTGACTGAGTGTGGGGCTGCGTCCATCAGTCCTTGAGAATGAGCATCATGCACACACAAGCACACTCATGCACACCCACGTACACACACAGATACATTGTGCTCACACACAAACACATGCACACACGTCTATACACATACAAGCCCGCTCATGCACACCCATGAACACACAGATACACCAATACTCACACATGGACACACATGCACACACATCTATACACACACAAGCACAGTTGTGCACATACACATACACACACAGATACACCATGCTCACCCACATGCACACACATATACATGTACACTTTCACAGTCGTGCTTGCATGCGCACTTGTATGCACAGGCGTGTATATGGAGGTATGCTCACTGTTGTCACTCACACACTCATACATGTAGGCCCCTAGTGCACACTCACACACATAAACACAAAGCACAGACATGCCCTTGTGCATTCACATTTAAACACACATATGCAAATACATGCAAGCACACTCACATACACACACACAGGCACACATGAGTGCAGGTAGATGGTGCATGGACACACACACCCGGCTCTGATCTCCTCCTCTCCTCACCATTCACTCTAGCCACTCCTAGCAGAGAGCTCTGGCGAAGCCAGCCAGTGTTACCTCCCAGGCCTCTTCCTGCCTTTTGAAGGCCAGCTCATAGCTGAGAAGTGAGCTCATCGGCTCCAGGGCAGGACTCAAGCTCCAGGTCAGTACACAGTAGCCAGAGCTGATGTTGCTCTGCAAGTCAGATGGAGGGTCCAGCTTAACTGAAACACAGTGAGGCCATGTAAGGCCACAGCCCCATGGTTCTTGGTGCATCTGTGAGCATGTCCAAAGCTGAGGATCTAACACGTTCCTAAGGGACATGGCCAAGTCCTCTCAGACAAAAGGCTTCACTATAAGACTACTCCAGAAAAGCCTCATCAGGGACAGGGTGCCCGTGACTTCTCTACCCCCTGCAGCAAGGCTGTTTCCAAATCTTGGCTTCCTTCATAATCTACTGCTGAAAGTTCTTCCCCATATCTTGCTGGAGTCCTTCCTGCTATAACTAAAGTGCATTTTCAGTGACTCAAACTGTAGACCCTGCCCCACCTGGTCATCCATCTTCATCCTATGCAAAACTCTGGCCCTGTAGTCACCACACAGGCCTCCCCTCCCAGGGTCTCACTTGGGAAGGACTCTTGGTAATGAACAGTTTTTACATTTCTTTTTTTTTTGCAAGGGAGAACTGGGATTTGAACTCAGGGCCTTACTCTTGTTAGGCAGATACTCTACCACTTGAGCTATGCCACAAGCCCTGGGAAGGACTCTTGGGACTATGGGGGGCATAGGCTGAGGGCCTTGCTCCTACACCAAGCCCCAAGGCCATTCCTGGCAAGGCAACCCAGCTCACCATGTCTCCACGGCAGATACTGAGGGTCCACCAGGCTGATCTGCTCCTCCCCAGAGATGCAGTGGTGCAAAGTGATAGTGAAGTTGTCAGTTGGCAGGATCACCTCCTCGGGGGGCAGCACCACGGTGCACATGCTGGCCTGGAAGATGCACCTGTGCTGGCTGCCAGGTGCCTGGTTGCTGGAAAGGCTATGGATCAGCACCAAGGATGCTCTGCCATGGGGACCCCACCTGCCTATCATCTCCCAGGTGCATCTGGCCCTCCACACTCACCTGGTAAAGAGGAGCCAGGAGCCAGAGCCCTGGTCCACCTCCAGGGCAGACCATTGACAGTCAATTCTGAGGATGCCATTGGTGAGGCAAGTGAAAGTTCCCATCCTTGGCCCTGGGGATGGGGATGATTGGGAACATACAGTGGGTGCCTCAGGACAGAGATGGGCTGGAGAACCTGGCAGCTGAGCCCTAACAAGGCAGTCTCCAGAGGATGATCCCAGAAAATTTTGACAGAGTCAAGGCAAGGAGGCCTGGGAGATGATGGGCTTGGACCCCTGGTGCACAGACAAGTCAGGCCCAAAAACTTGGTGAAGGTAGGAAGATGAGGGCCAGTGGGGCCCCAAGAGGACAGGTCCCAGCATAGTTTGGACCCATGATTTCCCCCAAGGCTCAACAGAGGACATCCCTGTCCCCCGCCTCACCTCAGTTCTCCACCCATCCACCTCACCCAAACACCAGTGCCCAGCCCTCACCTCCTCCCTGCTCTGGGACAGAGATTCCCCAGCAGATGCAGGAGCACACACAGGTGTAGATCAGAAGCCAGGTGCCCACGTCTCGTGTCAGGGCCTCACTTTCCAAGGTCCAACCTGCAAGGGCCTGGACTGAGGGGCCTGCGCCATGCACCCCCCCTTTGGGAAGGGTGCTCCCCATGAGACCCCCCTGGCAGAGGCTCTACCAGGGTGAGGCACCACCCCCGTGCCCAGGCTCAGGCCCATCTTGCAGGGCGGTAAGGGTTTGTAGAACCAGTCACTACCATCAGCCAGGCTCCTTGGTGTTGCAGCCTGTGCAGCTGTGGAGCCTGCACTTTCTACCTTGGTTTTGACAACAGCCAGGTGAAAGCCCATCCTATTCGCAAAACAGAAGCAAGGTCCCAGGGAGGGGAAAGGCCTGGCCCAGGGTCACATAACTAGCCTCTATGCACTTTATCTCCCTTTTACCACCTTGAATAGCCTTCCCAGGGCACTGCTCCAACAACATGAACAAGAATTTCAGCAGATGTCCATGCAATGGATGGCCCTGACTAAACTGCTTGTCACAGTCTGTTCTCAGGTACCCCACAAAGGACAGCACCCTGAAAAAAGGCAAGGCCCAGGGCCCTGGGATCCCTGGGGGAGACTGAAGTCAGCTGCAGACCAGGGGTTGGGGATGAGGAAGTGCCTGGCTGCAGGGAGGCTGCTGAGGCTCTATCACTTCATTTGCAACTGCAGATGGCTCACGGATAGCCCCTGAGCAGGAAGCAGGGGCAGCCTGATTAGTGATAAGGAGAAAAGGAAGCAGACATGCAGACAAGACCACAGCACGCTCCCCCTTCAGGAACCTGCACATGCTCAGCAGGAACACTCCAACCTCACCCACCCCATCAGGGTATCATGCACCCACAGGACAGGCCCCTGTCAGGGCCTCATCCTTCCCTGGGATGGAACATGCATCCGGGTACCACCAGCAGCAGTGTGAAAGACAAGCTCTCCAGGCAGTGTCTGCCCGCCTTGAGCTACATGATGCTATGCAGAAGTCACTGGCAAGAAGAGGTTGGGACACTAGAGAGTACTAGGATCTGAGAGGAGATATCAGCACAACAGCTACTGCTCAGCTAAGGGTTGACTCAGACCCCGGGGACAACCCTGCCCTGGCTGGAGAGGCGCCAGCATAATGGGCAGATATACAGAATGAGCCCAGCCTCAAGCTAACCCAGGAGCAGATGGGTTGAGAGTAGGGAAGGGGTGGCTCCCAACTCAGCAGACCCCCTTTCAAGACAGGGACAGAGGGCAAAGAGACAGGACACTCCCTGGGACACACCCATGGAGCTTGGTACATACAGTAGCATCATAGCCATCCAGGAGAGGTCTTTGTTTTTCCTTTGCACAAAATACTTTCATCTACACCAGGTAAACTGGGTAGGGTGGGGTCACCACCCTCCTAAAGATGAGGAAACTGAGGCCCAGAGAGAGACCAGCGACTTGTCCAACACATGAGACCTGGCACCTCTTTTTTTTGTCCAGGTGTCCCACAAGATTCCACACAGCCTCTGAGTTTCCTGAGAGCAGTGACTAACTCCCACCAGCACATGCCCCACAGAAGACACCACAAATGGGGTGAAGCCTTGAACAGACTGCAATCCATCCCTCTTCTGCATAGCATCATGTAGCTCTCTCTCGTTGTGGCTTCTCAGGCATAATACAGGACATTACTGAGGCAATGGTCCCCTCCTCCACCAACAGACTTTGGCTCACATAGTCAGGAAATATGGAGAGAACACCCTGTGTGCTCCCTGGTCCTGGAGGAGGTGTTGGGATGGGGCCAGTGAGGCCTGACTATGGGTCAGACAACCAGGTCACAGTATAAGAGCAGAAGGAGAAACCAGTGTCTGCCATCTTGGAATGGAGCTGCTCCCTGACACCCAGTCCAATGCCACGGGCCAACATAGCTGTCCTCATCAGGTCTGAGAACACATCCATTAGCCCACAGTCTTTGTGACCCCTTCTCAGAGTCCTGCCTCCTCCATGGCCCAGGGTCTAGATTGGGCTCAGATGGCCTACTTGCCCTGATTTCTAGGCCATCATGAAGTATGGCTGCCTTGCAGCTGGACCTATACCTCCAACACAGGCTCTGCAGACCCACAGGAGAGATTTTGACATAGGTTTTGCCCTAACCAGAGCAGGCCACCATCACGGGGGCTGGGCCAGGTGACTCTGGGCTCCTGGTGCCTTGCTGCACGT